ATAAAGATTGTGAACTAAACAGTAAAATCAATGTCAATCTACTTTTGAACTAATCAGAAAGTCAAATATAGTACAGTATGTCGGCAGTCATAGTATTTAGCATACTCAAGCTCTCATGTGAGGTATCTTGTTTGTTTCTGCTCATTTCAAGTTATAGCAATAATGTTTATAACTTTAAAACACTACTGGGTTATTATAAAAGACTTCTTATGCAAGAACCTTACAATAACCTTTCTCAGATGAAACTCTGTTCTAAGTAAAACACCTGTTTTGTATTTTAAAACCATATTTTGTGCATGTTTTTTCATATTGAAAAGTTTTTATTGGTCTGATTTCATATGGGAAACAAGCCTAGTGAAGCATTAAAAATTGTATCTTGCAGTACCGAGTTAATGTAATAAATCTCTAAGTTAAAAAATATATAAAAATGGGATTTATTTTTATTAAGTCTGCATTCTAATGCCTCAGGGTTGTTCTGTCCCTTTTTAGTTTTTAAACACACAAAGAGATCTGATCAACATATTACAAGTAAACTCTCAATGTCTTGTGGATTCAGTGTATTTTCCAACTCAATTACACTGATATTTTACATTCAAAAAACTTTGTAGGGCAGAGGAGCACAGTTGGACAGTAACCTTGCAAATTTTATAAGCTTTTTTTAAATGATCAAAAAGCTTAAGATCTTTGAAAAATATAAAACTTGTACAATTAATTGAATTGGGTAGTGAGATCAAATGAAAAGCAAACCTGAAGACCTTGTGACCCTCAAATGCTGATCACTTCTTGTTCAAAGCGTTAGATGAGAACAAAAACTGAAATGCACAGACTATTTCTGCTACACTGTATTTCCAGAACTATTTATTTTTATTTGGTGTAAGGATTGTACCTGACGGTGAGACCAATACTGTTCATTGTCTCGGAAAATGTGTGTGCCAAGAAAGTACGGAGAGGGCCCCTCCATATTAAAAAAAAAAGCACAACTGAAAAAAAATTCAAAGCCATTTTAGCCTGCCCAGCTCCTGGTGTCTTCATGGTTAGTACGGTTGCAATTTAGTCAAACATATTGCTTCCAGACACAAATAGCTGAATGCAGTTGCAGATAAAAGGGCAGTACAAGGTGGGAACACATTTGCTACACTCACTACCATGTACTGCACTGCCTTATCTACAGCTCAGACAGGTCTAACCTTCAGTGGAACTTGAACTCATTCTCATCACTAATCTTTCTTTCCAATAATTCCAATTACTTGTACGTGCTAAAAACACACCAAAAACAAACAAGGAAAACTATAAAGCTTTTATCGAAGGTGGTGTGTGGATATTTCTCATTTTGAATGCAAGGTAAAATAACAATGCAAGTACAATAGGGCGATAAGATCATTATTTAGCTAACACTTACATATTTTGCCTTGTGGGAAGATGATTAAAGGCCTAAACCAGGAAAGTTGAGACTACTTATTGTGAAATGCTGTAGATGGACACTGCAAGAAAACGCATTTACTTATGAGCCGTTAGTTGCTGAACTCTGGGGCAGTAGGATTATCAGAAAGGTGGATTGACAAAATTATGTAATGTAATTTGCAGTAGTTAATGCTCAAAGGACGTTTGAAGTCTGTGATTGAAACTTTAACACACTTAACAGTTCTGTGAAAAATTAGCATTAGATTATTAAACAAGAATAGTTTAGGTTTGGAAGGACACAAATTGCAGTAGGAAGAGAGTGAATGAAAAATTAAAGGATTACAGAAAAGAAAACACTGTGAATTGTAAAGGTATTGCTGTATTTTACAATTAATATTAAGCAATAATATCAAACTTGTTAAGATATATAAAATGTGCTCCTGGTTCTGAATGCATTTTTCTTACCTACTGTAATCTAATGAGCATGTTTTTATTTCTTTCATAGAATCCCATTTTTTCTGTTTTCACACTAATTAATGTATTTATCTGATTCACTCATACTTATATATACTGAAATCCAGACTAGAAAATGAACAGGTGCCATTTTCCAGTAGATTTGTATAAATTGTGTGAATGTTTTATAGTCCTATTCCAAAGTGATCACAAGAAAGCAGAATCTCTTCTCTGACTTCATGAAGAAGATGAAGGTGGGTGTCCAGACTGATTCTTAAATGCCAGGATTTCACTGACCAACATGTCTAAAAAGTAAACTTCCCCATCTTTAGTAAGACTAGACACTTTCTACAAGTGTAAACTATGAGTGGTATAAAGTGCACATACAGTATAATCAAGATAGAACAAGACACACCTGCTAACACTGCAACATTGATTCAATTGCTAGCTTTAATGGGCTTCTTTAGTCTACTTCTCACTATCTAAAGCCCTCTACAGCATATAAAAAATCACCTGCATACTGTATACTGTATATAAAGAATATATTAGCCAATATAAGTCACAGAAAATACTGGAATGGTCCTTTCCTTTTTAACAAAAATATAACAAAATATTCAATATGGTTTTACTTAACTTTCCCTGTTATTGCAATTAAGTAATTAATTTTGCAAATTATGCTTGTGAAAAATCTACATATACCATGTCAAATCGTAGAAATAAATGCATAAAATATGTCTTCACAAGGTAATGTAAAGAAGGTTTTTTCCTGTCTTTTTTCTTGTTTTTGATTATTACTTCAATCTGTTAAATAGAAGAGCTTCACAATTAAAAAAAGTGAGTGAAGTTACGAGGCACACAGACACACCTGCACACAAAAATCAGCTGTCAATGACATCACTTACTCACAGTTCAAGTCTCTTTGGTTGAACTTTATTAAACTTGGCTCGAGTCCATTCTCAGTGTACTATGGACACAAAACTCATGGACAGTTACTTAAATGGAAACATGCAATGCAAGACAATAACATTACATAAAATATTTTTACTTGTGTCAGTCACACTTTACAAAGGTTAATGAAAGATAATTGAATAAAGTCATTTTCTACATGTATATCTGTTGTTTCCAGTTCTTATTGTTCATAAAGCTTTCAGATTAACTGATGAATAGCATATGACACTCTTGACAAAAGTTAATGTAATTAAACAGATGTTGACCTGACATTTATATGAAACTAATGTAAATTAATTTTAGAGAAGGTTTGTAGTCACGATATAACCAATTGTGTTTGAATAAGAAACAAAACAGTACAACTGAGGAGTTTCCTTTGATCATAGAATTGACAATGTTTGGCCTTTGGAATATACTACTAAATAAAAGATTACACAAAGCCCAGCAGTTTCTAAATATAACTCAAGGTCAATGGAAACTCAGGTTTGACATTTGAAAAATGTTTTTTTTTTGGTGTTCACACATTTGCTCATTCTTTTCAAACAGAACATTTTCCATCGGTATGTACTCCTTCAAATGCACTGATGTTGTGTACCAGTTTTGTGAACAAACCCAACTTCGCACCATAAACGTACAGTATTCAATTTAATATGTTGTTACACTTGCATGTTTATTAACTAGTATTTATATTTCACGTTATTTTCTTATTTTTCTTATTCCAATTTCAACAAAACCATTACGTTTTTCTTGTTTCCTCTAAATTGCTCACTGTTGATTCTGAACAAAACCATTGGTTTAGTTGCCTGTTTTATTGAGTTTTGAGCAAGAGAAAAACATAGCGAGCACATAATTAAAACACCGCTTAGGACAAGTGATTATAATACACTTATCAACACTTGTTAAGAAACAGTTCTGCAATAAGGATAAAAAGGAGAATGTGTAAGATAAACAGTGAGTTAATTTAAGTTCTGCAGGAGAAAAGAGGTAAAAAAACAGTAATGTCTACCAACATAGTTCAGAAGAAAGCCATCCAGTAGATTACATTGTATTTATTTGCAATACAGGCCACCACCACCATCGCCCCAAAAAAATAAAAGCAAAAAAAAAAAGATCCATATGTAAACATTATGTTTAATAATTAGTATTATTTTCAATGCAAAAGATTATTGCAGAAGTATATTATTACAGGGTTTAGGAAACAACTGCAGTCACTCCATTTTACATTATGGTAAAATGCAAATAACTTTTATGTCAGTTGGTTAACATATTCTTTGGGAGAAACGTCGTTTAAAAACGTTAAACAGTTGGAGAACCAGCTAGATATTGTGTTGCTGGCTATCTTTTTAGAAGCAAGTCTTTAAAATTCGGAGATATTAGCATAATCACCCCCCACCCATTTATTATAAAAACAAAATCCTTTAGATGTCGCTAATCTAAAAGGACTCTGTTTGGAGGGCAGTTTTGTTAATTTAGCCCCCTCTACAGGCACATAATGGTACCTACAAAATACAGCTCTCATACATGGTCGTTTTTCCTCAAACGCTGATACTTTATCCCATGCATGTAATGGGGAATCGCTATTTTTTACAAACATCCGTCTGGAATAAATCAGAACGGCGTCCAGTTTTTAAATAGAAATGCCAAATAAACCAAAACTTTATTTAAATATAAGCGGTTATGTTAGAAAGGGTATAGTTTGTCAATTTCACATCTAAGGCTAATTTTAACTCGGCTGCGACTTGGGGGGAAAAAAAAGACCTCTGTCTTATGCGTTGTAATAATGTACCTGTATAAGATGAGACCAAGGTACCAAAAGACCTAGAGACTAGATATACGCACATAGTGATACATCCACCATGCATTTTTTAAAACCTGGATACAGCGAGTTAATGAGATCAACTAGAGAGAAAAAAAAGCGTGATCTCCACCTTCGATTTCCCAAGCTCTGCTTCTTCAGGCAGGAGCTCTGCAGAGCCGCAGAAAAATGGATAAAAAAAGGCGCGTCTCGGAATTCCCGCCACGTGTGCCGCGACCTCCTCCCTTTTATGCTAATCATCCGTTTTCGGTTGGTCTGAAGGCAGTGCGCGGCGATCCAGTCGCAGTTTCATTGGCTGGAATCGCACCTATGCAAATGCGGGTGTTCCATTTTGCTAATGAACGCAATGCAAAGCTTTCAGACAAGAAATCCTTGGGCGTCTAGTACTATGCTAAAATAGTGCGGTTGCTGAGCGTTACCGGCGTTTTGAAACGAAGCGCGCAAGAGAATCGAGAATTCTCAGTATTTTTCGCATGTCCTTTTCATTCCTTTACTTTGGAGGGCGGGAGTCGTGTTAAGGCTGTAGTCGTGTTAATGTTGAATATTAGTTTGAGTGGCGGAGGGATATATACGCCCCCTCCACGCGTCAAAATATTGGAGTTAAGAAGTGGGGGCGGCCGCGGCTCGGGCTCAGAGTGGGAGAGTCTGTGATCCTGCTGGAGCGCTGTGGCAGGAGATTAGATTGCTGTTGCTGCATCAGCTGCATATTCGTGTGGACTCCCTGATTTTATATATCTGTATTCATCGCAGAAAAAAAAATCGAGGGAATCTTTTCGTCAAGTTTACAAACATGATATGAATTACTTTCTTGAAGCAGTTTTGTTTAAGAAGTTACTCCTCTCGGATCTACAAGCGTGATATCTGCTGCTCCCGGAGGTTTTGCAGTGCGGCGGTGGTGCTGCGCCTTGGATCAGTGATCAGCATCATAACAAACCTGGAGATTGGAAATTTGTGCTTGACCTGAATTGGATTGGATTGCTACTGGTCATCGAGAACTTCTGAAACTAAGCGGGGGATTGTGAAGATCCGTGTACAGAGAAAAAGAGACCTTTGTTAGAATATGTTGCTGTCCAAGTTTGGCTCGCTGGCTCACATTTGCAACCCGACCGGCATGGATCATTTACCGGTTAAAATCCAGCTCCAACCAGGTATGGTGAAGTTGACGTCGGGCTGTTTTTAAAACGTCTGTGCGCGTTGTTCGGATATTTTCCTTAAGATTTCTGCCACTTTTTCTGAATGGATCTCTGTCTCTTATTTTAAGATGTGGCGAGTTTAGGTAGAGCCTTGTGGGCGTCCAGCGATTAATGTTCTCACAAATAAGCAGGTCGCCTTCAAATCGGACGCCTAACGAGACTTGTAGTGCTGCTTGAGAATATAGAAACACGCGTGCTCATGTGCCATCTACACGTTTGTGTTTGTTTGCAGTGAAAGTGGAGAAGGAGCCCTTTGACAAGGTGTACCAGGTGGGCTCCGTGCTGGGCAGCGGCGGGTTCGGCACCGTCTACGCCGGCAACAGGATCTCCGACGGTCTGGCGGTAAGGGCGGCGAGTTTTATCGGCATCTTATCTGATTACTTTCTGTGGCACACATGGAAGCATTTCTAATTTTTTTTTCTTCTTCTCTGGTTGCAGGTTGCTGTGAAACATGTGGCTAAAGAGCGAGTGACGGAGTGGGGCTCGATAGTAAGTAGGCGCTGATCTGAATGTCTGGCTTTGCGCGTCTTGAGCCGCCGGTTTCGTCCGAGGTCTGCGCTGTGCGGTTATTTGAACGCAGATTTGTCATTTGATTTTTTTTTTATTCTTTATAAACGTGGGTTATCTTTATTTATTAAAAAAAAGATGGATAAACGGTAAACGCGCAGTAGAAGGGGAGGGAGTGTGTGTGTGTGTGGGGGGGGGTACGCGATTGTAATATTTCAGTGTTTTCCTTTCAGAACGGCGTGATGGTGCCCTTGGAGATTCTCCTCTTGAAGAAAGTTGGCACTGCGTTTCGGGGCGTGATAAAGCTCCTGGACTGGTACGAAAGAGCCGACGGTTGGCTGATCGTCATGGAGAGGCCGGAGCTGGTCAAGGACCTGTTCGACTTCATTACCGAGAAGGGCGCTCTGGATGAGGAGACAGCCCGGGGCTTCTTCCGCCAGGTCCTGGAGGCGGTGCGGCACTGCTACAGCTGCGGGGTGGTCCACAGGGACATTAAGGACGAGAACCTGCTGGTGGACCTGCGGACCGGCGAGCTCAAGCTGATCGACTTCGGGTCGGGGGCGATTCTCAAGGACACGGTCTACACGGACTTCGACGGTACGCGCGCCGTGGACGGTTTCTTGCAGCCTGTGCTGGAATGGATTATGACCCCGGTTTAAAATCCCACACAGGCTGGATCAAAAAGATTGAATTTTGAGTGCTTCAGTACCCTGTCAGTTAATGCCTGATGGGTTTCTGGCTTTTTTTTAGCGAGGAATTAAAAAGGGATGTTTGCCTTGTTAGAGGCTACCCCGAATTTGTGACGCAGCAGTTTGTTTCGCTAATATTTAAAGGGTTTTCCTAGGGGGCGATATCCTCTGCTGTGAATGGCAAACGAAGTGCTCATGGATGTTATTACATTTTTAGAGACTGTAGCAGTAGAGAGCTCTTGGCAATGTGCTTACGTTTTGGTTTTTAAAAGCCCGTAGTTTTGGTAAGAAACCTTTAGATAATTGGGTTAAGGTAGCCTGAAAGGGAAATATTTTGATGTCGTGGTGGAGGCTTGGTAATCCTGCACATGCAAATAGAGACTCTTGTATTGAAGCGCAGTTTTGATGGAAATGTGATCGGCTGCCACGTAACATCTGTTTGTTGTGAATCCCGAGCCCGTGGGTCACGTGACGGCCAGCATCATGGATTCCTGTTTTTGTTTGGTATCCAAGATACACTCCTGCCCCTGGGGGGGGTTGGATGGCGGGTTTTAAATCCCTTTGGAAAGAAGAGAAAGAAAGGTAGCTTTTGTTTCTCTCCAGGGGAACAGTGGGGAGGTTATTCACAGACACCAGAGTGAGAAAATCAGTGCCAGATTGAAAAGCCCAGGGGTTGTCAGGCGGCAGGAACATGGTGATGCAGTCGGTCTCTCCTCCCCCCCCCCCATTCCCCCAAGTCTTTTCCATGATTTTATTTTGGGTTTGCTGTTAACTGCAGATGCTACGTGGACAGATAGGGGGAGGGTGTAGAAGGCAGCTTGGCTGTTTGTAAACAGTCAGCTGATTGACGTTATACAATGCAAAGGCCAAAGCCTAATCCAAAAACAGTTGTAAGCAAAGTCCAATTAAGTGGATTATGGAACACGTAATTTTAGCCACATGGCACAAAAGGAAATGGTGGAAGGTAGGGGAATTCTTGTCCAGGGCTAAACTAGTGAATCCATTGATTAGGATGGTGATTTTTTTTTTTTCCCCAGGCACCAGGGTGTACAGTCCACCTGAGTGGATCCGCTACCACAGATACCATGGCCGGTCAGCAACTGTGTGGTCACTGGGTGTGCTGCTGTATGATATGGTGTGTGGAGACATCCCCTTTGAACAAGATGAGGAGATCCTGAGGGGGCGATTGTACTTCCGGAGGAGAATTTCAGCTGGTAAGACATTAATATCTTCCATGTAAAAATCCAATTGTAAGCTAGATCTTGTACTCATCACCATTTTTAAGTAAATGGAGGTCCCAAAGTACTTGATATTTTGATTTTGGGAAAAATTGCATTTTGAGTCCTCCCCTTAACTCTATTTGAATTTCTTTCTTTTTAAGAATGTCAGCAGCTGATTAAGTGGTGTCTTTCTCTGAGGCCTTCAGACAGACCTACACTGGAGCAGTTATTTGATCACCAGTGGATGCGTAAAACAGAGGTTGTCAAAACAGAAGATTGCGATATCCGATTGAGAACCATGGACAATGACGCGTCAAGCACAAGCTCAAGCAAAGAGAGCCTTTGAAGCCCTTGAATGACCTTACAAGACTAGCCACATGCCAAGAACTCTGTGGCTTTCCTGCCACTCTGTGTGCGTGTGTGTGTGGGATTGGATGGGATGCTTATTTCACATTCTGCAAATCTGAACCTTTTATTTCTCCTTTTTAGGGAACTGTAATTTCTATTTCTGGCTTCTCCCTTTTTTTTAAATTATGAATTTTCCTCATTGGGAACACTACTGTTTGGGAGTGCCAGGCCAGTGCTTTTATTTATTTTCTTATTTTGTAATAAGGCTGGTTATGAACCTGGTGACCCTCCTGAACAGAATTCAGATTTTGCTCTCATAGAGCCTTACTAGTTTTGTTTCAAATGTTAAAATTTTGCTTTTGAGTGCCTTTTGAAAGCTGCATTAGTGGGGCGTTCTTCAGGTGTAACTGTTGCATGTTTTTAAATTGCACAGGGGGACATCCCAGGGTTTTTGGTGTTCCGTCATGTGCAGTTCTAAAGCTGCTTGGTTTCAGATTAAAAGGTCCTCTTCACTGGTGATGGAATACTTGAAATGCAGACCTTCACAAACACTGCACCCTTTTCTTTGCTGCTCTAAAGATACTTCGTTGTATGCGGAGATGTGGGATACATGTCAAAGCGTTTTTTAAATGTATATTAAATACTTCCAACCACCCCCCCCCCTCTACCACTAGGCTCGGATTCCCTACCTCCCCTTTCTTCCACCATACTGCAAATGGTATGTTTCTGGCTAAGGCATGTCAGGGCATGGTTGTAAAATGCACAATCAATGCAATATTCATGAACTCAGTTATATTTTTTAAAAAATGTGTATAGTGTATTTATGTACAATTTCCATGTCATTTTATTTATTTGTGCAAGTTAGACATTCCACAGTACCACTCTGTGGCTATTTATTTTCTCTAAACCTTTTTTAAGAAATAATATTCCTTAAGTTGTTTGATCATGGCCTTTGTTTGCATTCCTGTAGTTTTTTTTTAGTTAGCCAGAATTCAGCTGTCACTCAAGCTGGAGACTGGTGTCACTAGTAAAAAGGTATATTTTATGTGGAAGGGCGGTGAGTATTTATTTATTTAATTTTCATTTCCAATGATCATTGGTAATGATAGGCCGTGAATGGCTGTATCGGAAATGTACAGTTATACTGTTTGGATAAAAGGTTTTAAATTATTAAATTTGTGTAGTCTCCATTCATTAACTATTAGGAGGGCGGCATGTAATTTGTTTAAATTACTGTGTGCTGTGCGTAGTTGCATTTATGCAGCTCAGATTTGGATTTTTTTTTCCTTTTTTTCCACTTCAGCGGTGTGAAATACTACAATGGAGAGCATATTTTTTTATACCAAAATTTCAATTAAAAGTTTGTTTTTAACAATGGTGTGGAATTTCATTTACTGTAAGTGCATCGCTTGAATGGTATGTTGCAGGGATGACTCTGTGCGTGGGCCTGAGAGTCTTCTTGTCTTCAATTTAAATGTAAAGCTTGCCTATTTTTTTAGGTCTTAATAAAATGACATTTAATCTGTAGGAGATTGACAAATGACTGGAGAGACATCTTGACCAGCTGAGCTGGTAAAATGTTTTACCAAGTAATAGGTCACATTTGGACTGTGGGTTTAAAGATGGGTTCTGTCATGAGCTGGATGTAACCAGGATCCTGTAAGTGGTAGTGCACAGCTGCCTGAGAGTGGGCAAGGGTAGTGTGGGAGTAATTGGACCAAGCTCTGTATTCATGGTACCCCATCTGGCCATCTGCAACCATACAGTGCTGTTGACGCAGGGCGAGCATGTTCTCCAATCAGCACAGAATCTCCAGTACATCTCTGAATCAGGTGTGTATAACAAGAAATAGCGATTCCAAACATAAATATGGGAATCTGGTGCATGAGGGCTGGTCGTAATTTATAGATATAAAGTGAAGTTTTAAATGGAGACCTTCCCCCCCCCCATTAAGAGACCTCAAGTTTTGGTTTTCAGTATGTACTTGAAAACAGGTACCTCGGTTTGCAAGAAACACCTGGTTTGGTTTTTGATTTAGTTTCATTCCTATTCTGTTTTCCTGAGAGCTGTTAAGTCCTCAAAACAAGTTCTGCAGGGGCTTTTGACTTGGTCTCATGAGACCCAAATAAACACATCTGATCTTATCGAAAGTGTAAGGTTTGGCCGTGCTTCCATCCATTTAATGGGTGGAAGGGCTTAATCTCTTATAAATATGGTGACAGCTGTATTTTAATGTGGGAGGGCTAGAGCAGGCACCTCAATTAAACTAGATAGCATATCTTTGGGTTGTTGGAGGAAATAGGTGTGCTTGGGAAAAATCCATGTGTACATGAAGAGCTCATATACACATCACACAGTAGGTATCCCGGTACCCAGTAGCACTAACCACCACCCTCCGTTAACATATTCACATACTGTAGACATGATCAATGTCACCTACCCCTCTATAACGCATCTACTCGCCTAACTACTGGACCCCACTTCTGGTCCTGGAGGAACACTCACTGTCTTCTCTGTTTTGTAGCTTTTAGACTGCCTAGGTCTTAATCAAAGGCTTACGGGTAACTGTCTTCTATTTGGAGTACACTTGTGCACTTAATTTGAGTTCTTAATAGTTCAATTGCTCTTAAAATTTGATTTTGTAAGTGTTATCAACCCTGCATTTCCCTATTTAATATAGTTTATGAACATTCAGGTGTTTTACCCAACATGACCTCTGTAGAAAGATAATTGTTCATTGAGGGAGTATCTCGAGACAGTCATTCCCACTTGTGAGCGTTCATCAGCTAATTAATCAACTAATTGGAGCTGTTCAGTGAGAGATAAAGGCAAGTTTGGGAGAGACTGTAAAGTTCGATATGCTGAATTTGTTGGAAAGAGTATCTTTGAAGTACAGTATATGTGATATTTAGGACAGACCAAAGAAATAAGTTAAAAGTCTAAACAAGCAAGCCAACAATTACCACTGGAGTGAAACCCAGGAGACACAGTAAGTTCCTTCACGACTATGGTTAGGGACTACTGGCCTACACATCAGTTAGTGAACACAATAAATCACCCCATAACCTACAGGTAAGTGTTTCACACTGGTTTGTCTTACTACCTTGTACATTTTCCATGGCAGTAAAGCTCTTGTTTTCTTTCTTAAGATGAGATATTACTTCATTACTCATGCCTCCTTGTAACTTGGGCCTGTTTTATCATGCCTCTGTAACCACAGCCTGTAATTTATCTTGTGTTCATAAAAGCATGCGATATAGAAAAAAATGTGACGTGAAGTAATACTGTTTTTGTGGCTGCTCCAGGTTCAATAAAAGGGGAAAGCTGGACTCTGGAATTCTAAAAAAGGTTGCATTTTTCCCTTAGTTTGGCAAAAAGTAAGAAAGAGCTGTATCAGTTCCGAAGACTGTAAAGGGTAAGTTGGTAAATCCAGAGGATATGCACAGTGAAATTGAGTAGCAATACTCAAACTGAGAACGTGAACAAGGAGAATTGCAAGGGACTGTCTTTATTTGATGCATGTACTTAGAAAGTTTAAATCATTCTGAAATGTATCCATCCACTTTCAGTAACTTGATGGGTACATATCAAAATCCATGATCTGCATGTTTTGGATACACAAAATGCTGGTCTGTTAATTACAGTGTATTTAGTGCTGGCCTTGGCCTCTGATATAATAAATTCCTTTATCTGAAAGAAAGCTGGGATACATTTGAAAGTACAGGTAAATTAATAATATGTGTAATATATATATGTCATATGACCAATATCATTACTGCATTATGTAATTATTACTTGAGATACACGAATGACAAATACGGATCGGTATGCTGTGAAAAACTACATTAGTAGTCTAATTACAGGTTCATTTGAGAGATTGTTATATGGAATTACATGTCTGAAAGTGTAACTACAATGCAATACCAGTAATAATTCAAAATGTAGCTACACATATATACAAATTTATATTACTGCATGTTGCTAAAGTATTAACTACATAATACAGTTACAATATCAGTCATTTGACTTATATATATTGTTTATAATGTTATTACAGTCATAATTCTCAAATACTCCTTGTAACTCTTACATGCATTATCTACATCTTGTTTCGCTTAATCTGACTTCCAAGTTGTCATTCAGTTGAAATATCTTAGCTCCTCGACCATTCACACAGCTGTTTGCATAATCTTTTCTGAACATTCATCTCCCATACTGGTGTCTAAAGGCATTAATCCTTATTTCCTTTAAGGTTATTCTTAGTGATCTAATAACATGCATGATTTATGAATCTCATATATATTTTCTTAAGACACACCCTCTTTAATAAACAAAGGGCACTATATGTGTGTAAAGGGCTACTGTTGGTTCATAAATCATGTTAAATAAATCAATATATGCAATCAGGAATGATTTTACAAATGATGCAAAGCATAACAGTTTGCTAATGACTTTGTTCATGCAGTCTTTGAAGTATGTTCTAAATGTGTTTAATACTTGTTTTGTTCTATAGAAGTATGTGGTTCTCTAAAATAATTTATTTTCATGCATGTGGTTTATGAATATTTGTTAGAGCAGTCCAGAACATGGAAAAAATTGAAACATTTTTAGCTTTCAACCTGGTGTTTTCTCACTATAAAAAGAATAATATATGTATAATATACAGTTCTTTAATTAATAATAGCCATAACCTTTTAATACATATTACATAATTTTAACTATCCACCCCCATGTTTGCATTTTTACAGATACTCAAGCTTTTCAGTTTCATTATGAAGCGTGTTTTCTTGTAGGCCCATAATTCAGATATTATACACCACTTCTTCCAACTCATCGTCAAGAAATGATTAATTCAGATTTGGTTTGGAAAACACGTGATAGTTATTTGGCACCTAGTGAAGAATATGATGCTTAAATGCTTCCACATTCATCCATCCATGCATTTTCTAACTGCTTTATTCAATACAGGGTAATGGGGGAACTGAAGCCTGTCCCAGCAAGGAACAGGCACAAGGTAGGATACACATGTGGTGTTTCCTAGTGGACGGTTCTTCCACATTCTGTACAATAAAAACTACTCTCACCCAAACCCATCTGCATGACTCTTTTTAATGCATTACATACATGTGAAAATTGGTAATGCTGAAATAAAGTTGTGCTGACTGACATATGAGTATAGCCAATATAACAGAGTAAATCACTTTTCTTTTGGATTTATATCAATAACCTTAACTCTTAGCATAGTGAGAAAGATTGTGAGGTCCTCAGAAGACACAAAAATAGAAATAATTGCAAGCACTAAAAGCATCAAAGAAACTATGACACAATTTTATACTGTTCACGTGACAAATATAAAATAATGCAGTTAGGTGCAAAGTAAAATATGAATTGAGCAATAATGTACACAGCATTAGAGGAACCAACCTGGCAACAGACTTTAGGAGTTAATATTATGCTGATTCATCAATACCCTCTCTCAGACAATGTGGAGAAGGAATTAAATTAGCAAAGAAAATACTGAAAAGTGAAGAATTACATTTAAAGAAAGTAAGGCATATAGCCACATCTCTTTTCTATTTTACATTGTGGAATTAACCATAAAGGGGAACTGCAGTCCCAATTCCTCAGACCAGATCTGTAACATCCTGAACTTTCTGAAGGTACTGTATTACTGCCATGGTGTCGTAGGCAGACAGGAAACTGCTTGTCTTGTGACATGTGACATGTCACGTTCTGACATGAAACTGGCTCTCCATGCTCACTTGTTGCTGTAAGCAAATGAGCATCATGGTCTCCTAAAAAACACGTTAATTATTATGAATGTATTTTAGTTCATTGGCAGATTGCTCCTTTTTGCAACACTTAAAAGTGTCTAAAAATATGTTACCTTGTATTTGCCAGTTTCATGAAAACATTTACTTCACTAATACATATTTATTAAAATGTGTATACAATTTATCATCACCAGAAGTTTTGTTGCCTCATTCTGAATCGCAGATGACATCTTTTGTGATGTAAAATTGGAGGTTGTACATATTACTGTGTGCTTGGTAGTTTCATTGTGGTCTGAAATGCACTCTTCATTGCTGATTCATTATAACATCAAAGTATAAAAAAGCATTGCAGTTCCCCTTTAACCAAGCAGGTTAAGCCCTTGTTCCATAGTAGCCAACATAGGCTGAACAGCACTCTAACATACATACTGTACAGTAGATAAATAGCCTACTTTGACAAAAAGGTGTTGAATTAAACTCAGGTCTGATGACTAATCAGTTAACAGGAAATTAAGAGAGTGTTCTTTGTAGACATCACAGCAGTCCAGATGGAAGGTTCTGTTTCCATAAAAACATAAAAAACTGTTTCCCTATTTGC